TATCTTGGACGTGCTCTGTCAGTTTTCATTAAAATTTGGCACATACAATGTACATGTACTTTATACATGTTAAGATGCATGTCCATGACAATTTGTTTCAAAATCTGGTCAAGGATGGCCGATTGACAGCCATCTGACTTTTTGGCCTTACTACTATATTTCCACAATTTATGTACCATTTTCATTCGTATTTGGCACATACATCATACATATCAGTGTGCTTCATAATCAGATCAAAGATGGCTGAATAACGGCTGTTTTTATTTTGGCCATATTACTATGACACGAACCACGTGTTTTGATGTAAATAAACAATCTGTTGTATACGCCACTTGGAACTCAAGTTTCAAGGACACACTCGCGACAATCCCTCCGCTTTAATATGATGAGCACAAAGAGAACTTAACGGGGACTGTGTCATTTTCAATGACTTGTTCACAAGTAGTTTTCGGTGTTTCACCTATCTACTGTTGTTTCTTTCCTCAAATTATCTAGGAATTTACATTACACATTTTTTAGTCCCCGTTCGGATAAAGTCCGAAAATGGGGACTTATAATTTGGTCTTCGTCCGTGCGCCCGTCCGGAGTCATATCTCTGAATCCTTTGGACCAATCCCGATCATTCTTCGCATGTGCCTAGTACTTTATGTGCGACATATGCACATGCAGTGGTTTAGCGATTCAATTCAAAATGGCCGACTGGCAGCCATTTTGTTTTTTGAAAATGTTGTATTTTGGACATGCTTTGTCAGTTTTCATTCAAACTTGGTATACATGTTAGAGATACATGTCCTTCGACCGTCCGTCCGTCTGTCCGTCCGTCTGTGTGTCAATCTGTCCAGAGTCATATTTCAGAATCCTTTGGACCAATTCAGTTCATTCTTTGCATTTGCCTAGTACCTTATGTGGGACATATGCACATGCAGTGGTTTAGCAATTTGATTCAAAATGGCCGACTGGCAGCCATCTTGTTTTTTGAAAATGTTGTATTTTGCTTTGTCAGTTTTAATTCAAACTTGGTACATAGATTATACATTTTAGGATACATGTCCATGACGATTACTTTCGCAATTGGATCACAGATTGAGGACTGGCAGGCATCTTGTTTTGTTTTTTATATGCGGTACCTTGGACGTGCTTTGTCAGTTTTCATTCAAATTTGGCACATACTTAATACATGTTAAGATACATGTCCATGACAATTTGTTCCAAATCTGATCAAGGATGGCCGATTGACAGCCAACTGACTTTTTGGCCTTACTACTATATTTCCACAATTTATGTACCATTTTCATTCCTATTTGACACATACATCATACATGTCAGTTTGTTTCATAATCAGATCAAAGATGGCCGAATAACAGCTGTTTTTATTTTTGGCCATATTACTACTACACGGAACACGTGTTTTGATGTAAACAAACAATCTGTTGTATATGCCACTTGGGACTCAAGTTTCAAGGACACGCTCGCGACAACCCCTTCGCTTTAATATGACGAGCACAAAGACAACTTTCAAAAATTTAACAGGGACTGTGTCATTTTTAATGACTTGTTAGCTAATTATATGCAGATTAGCCGTCTATCTCACATTTTGCTTAAATAATTTATGACAATTTATTATAAATAATGAATAATAATGAATTCCCCACAGGATATTGGATAAAAATTTTCTATAATATTTGTGAGGGTAAACTCCACAATATGATGCTGTGGGAAATTAATTATTGTTTAAATTATTCATAAAAAATTTATAATAAATTATTTACAAATTTTTGATAATTTAGTTAAATTTTTAAATTGATTTTACTTGTGAACAGAGGTTTATATTACTGTTAGATATTGTAAAACTATAACATCATAAAAACCTCTAATTCTGATAGTGGGGATTTATAACACACAAATTAATGGACAATGCTGGGTCTTTATTTCCGAATGAATTTGTCAAATGTGTAAGACGCAATACCGCTGCTGTACCAACTTTCTTGTTTTAAATTATTGGAATTTGGATGAATCATAAAATAATCTTCAAAAACATCTTCAATAAATCATTTTAGTAAATTTCTGACTGCCATATTCTTTCCACTGGTTTCCATGGTGAAATTATCGCAAAATTTGGTCAGGGACTTGGAATAAAGAAGTTGTTTAATTACTTCTAGATTAATTACTTCAATGAGTTTCTAGTGTGATGATAGTTTTCTGCTATGTAGAATGGATTATGTTCATAAAAAGGTTTGAAAAATGATGAGCTGAGAACAGTCAAATTTTCACTTCTATTAATCAGCATCAGACAAAAAAAAACATTAATGATTGTTGAGTCTTTTTATTTCTATCTAGAAACTGCAATAACAATTACACTAGTACAGACTTTCAGTTACTCATGAATTTGTAAAAAAAATTCATCTCTCGAAAATGAGAACAGTTTAAAATAACAGTTTTAGCATACCAAAAGAAAATAGATATGTACAAAATAAGGATATACAATGTAAAATCAAACGCTTTCAGATTATATTGGAGTATATTAGATCAGCTACTATGAACATATGTCATTTTTCTTCTCTTTCATGTTTTTTTTTGTTTTCCGTGTTTTTTTTGTTTTATTATTTGTGTGTGTATTTTATTATTTTTATGAAATAACAATAAATAAATAAAAAAAAAACAAAAAAAAAAAAACAGAATAATAATTACAAATGAATTCCAGCTGTGGCAGTAAGTCTCGTCTCTCTGTTTTGAGCTGAAAGAGAACGATGAATCAATTGTCAGACTGAAATATGAACTTATTATTTCATTTAATTTTATTAATAACTTAAGTGGTCTGGGAATATTAACAGCACCTTAGGGAGTTTATTTTAATTACCTTGTCTGTCACCTGCTAATTGCACACCTGTGTACCAGGGAAAGTGCATCTATAACAAACGTTTCCCCTTCTCATCGTGGAATCAGGATAACAAATACTAGAAATGTTTTAATTTCATTAACATTACCTGCTGAAAGCTTTTCTATACCTCACAGGCTTTCACATCTTTTTACGTCCTACCAGGATTCTGACCATGCTTTCTGGTGTCGGCCACTTATAATTTCCAAACAGAACAAAAGTTGCCACTCGATAAAATTCTATTGTTTATATTGCAGTGGCCCCTCGCTAAGTCGTGTCTCAGTAAGTCATGTTTTCGGCGAAGTCGCGGGTAGTTGGATGGTCCCAAAAAATTCTGTTGTGTTTTGAAGGCAGTTTTGAAGTAAAAGAATTACTGTTTCATTGCATCAAGTATTTAATTGGCCATTAAAGAGCTAGAGGAGACAACTTAATATCTAATGGCGTGACGGTGGCCTGACACAAGGTGTCGACAGGAGTATGAAGTTGCGACTTTACGTACTTCTCGGCAAGCCCCGTTTGATATAGCTCCATAAAACTCACTGCAATGGGTTGAATCCATGTGGACATGGACGCTGTGATGTTGTTCAACAAAAAAAACATGCTATGAATAAACCCATGTGTGTATACAAACAAAATGTATGTGCTTTTTATCCATTCTCAATGCATAAACCTCCTTTCACGAGACCCCTTGGTAATTCGCGACTCTCAATAAGTCACGTTTTTTGCTTGGATCCCGACTTAGCGAGGGCCACTGTACCTGTAAATTGTTGACGTCATTTTAACAAGATGGGTGTCAGTAGACAATCCTTGTCTTATTTTAACACACAAATTAACACGATGTAAAAAAAAAAAATACACGAAACAGAACATGAATGGAAATTGACGTACTGTTCAAAATCAATCTACAGTGTCCGCAACCTAATGTGTTTTTATTTTAATCTCACTCGACTGACTAGTGACTGATTAGCGTTCAATTACAATTCGAAAAGAGATAAAATTATTGTACCTGCTGTAACTAATGACATGCTTTAAAACAAAACCTGTCAGGATAGAGATCTCAGGATATGTATCTTAGATGAGATTGCGAAAAATATTGAATCCAATCTTTATTTTATCAAAGCAGATTAATTTAATTAAAGTAGTTAAATAACAACTAATACTAAGATACAAAGATGACAATCATGAATATTAATCATTCATGAATATTGATAAAGTCATGAATATTAATGAGAAATTGGTACTCTAATCAAGCTAGGAAAATCCTTGCCCAGTTATACTCCAATGATCTATTTGTCTATCCTCTGCACACTATGCAGTTATTTCAAATGCAGTATAATTGTAAATATGTTCATGGCTGTAACTATTACTTTACCTCAAACCTCATTTGTGCACAACTTTTCCGGTGACATCACAGTAAAATGTTGTTATTTATGCAGCTTTCTGCATTATTCATCATACTTTAACAAAAAAGCAAAGTTCCTGAATGTCAAATTTGCTTGAGGAAACCCTAAACCCAACACACAATTTTGTTTTGTATTTTTAGCTCTGCTGTCGACGAAGTCGAGCAGAGCTTATAGTATTACTGATTGTCCGTCGGCGTCCATCGTCGTTGTCGCCGTCGTCAACTTTACATTTTCGACTTCTTCTTAAAAACTACAAACTGTATAGCTGTGGAACTTTCTAGGAAGGTACCTTGGGTGGTTCTCTCTCAGATTTGTTCATTTCGTGTGGATATGTTCAATTGTCTTATTTATAGCAAATATTTTTGTCATTTTTGGTCAAAAATGCTATTTTCGACTTTTTTAACTCATTTACTGTAAAATACTTTATTTTAGCTGGAATTAATTTTCGCTGGAAAGACTTTTTGGGTGTTTTGTAATTATTTATTTTCACTGATTTTTTTTGAGTTGAATGTAAATCATAGAAAAAAATGTATATTTGCTGGATTTTATTCTCACTGAATCATTCCTTCAGCAAAAATAGCAAAAAAAATCTAAATGAAAATAAAGTATTTTACAGTATTAGAAGTTATGTTTATTTTGTCCAAAATTAACCAAGAAATATATACATATAAATATGCAAAATGTTGAATGTTGATTTTAATTGTGTTTATTTTAATTTGCAGAAAAAGTCAGATGATGTACTTGCACCTCCTGCCAAGCCTGTATATACTACCGGTAGTAAGTATAAGCATGAATACTGCCCTCACAGGTGAAACAAACATGTTACTTACACAGTGAAGTGAAATGGCTTGAAATACATGGTTTTCTGCTCACTACATGATTTCGCGTTTTGCGTAAAAGGTGCAAACCAAATGTTTGCTGTAAAAATCAAATGATTTGATTTTGAACTTGAATTTCTGTATTTTATAGCTCAATGTCAATCTACAAGAAGGGAATATGGTGTTGTGATATCTTTACTTCTTTAAAATCCCCATTTGTGTATAGCAAGTGTGTTTGTCCGGATTTTAAGTTTGAATTTTTGCATAAAAATAAAATAAGTACTGTAGAATATTTTATTTTCGCTTGAAATTAAAGGAATAAGTCAGTGAAAATAAAATCCGGCGATTATACCTTTTTTCCTACATTTTACATTCAACTCGTCAAAAATCAGTGAAAATAAATTCCATACAAAACACCCCAAAACGTCTTTTCAGCGTAAATTAATTCCAGCTGAAATAAAGTATTTTACAGTATTTCTGCTAATTATCAAATGTTTGAATTCACCCATATTTTGAAATCTCCCAATGAACAGAAAATGGTGCATTATGGATGAAATAATTCTCAGAATTTGAATCAAATCATGACAATTTAAAAAATATAAATTTTTCTCTTTTTTATAGAACAATTAGTGTGTGAACGTGAAAAGGTTCAGTGTGGAGCAGGACGAGAGTGCGTAGCTGACGAAGACGGGGAACCTACATGCATCTGTATGAGAGTAAGTCTGTCTGACCACAAATGTTTGCATACTGGCTTTGTATTCTGTATTTTCTTTTGTAAGTCTGTTTTCTGTGTATGTTATTATTTTATTATAAATAAAAAAAATTTGTTCACAACAATGGGATTTTTTGGCATTATCTCCATAGAAATTTAATTCATAAATAATATATAATATTCGTCAAATATTCCAAAATGTTAGATACATGTACTCATGTTATTACTGCATATGATGTCTGCACTCATTGGTACTCAAACATTCTGATGAGATATTTTTACCATAAAAACCAATGCTATTCACAAAAATAAAAATTTTATGGTTGTTGGACACAATTTAGGTAACCATACTTTTTGAATCTGGATTTTGTGATCAACAGCATAAAATATAACCATTTGGTAAAAGTTCTGGAAGTCTGGTGATAAGTTTTAACAGTAGCCAACACACTTAAAAAGTTGTTATGAAAATAAAGGAAGCCAGGTCATCCTGTGTGACCTCTCCCTTTAAGTTGTAATTATCATATGAAAGTTTCAAGGCAGAAATGTACATATTTTCGCATGGTTGATTTGTCAAAGCCTTGATAGTAGTATTAATGCATTTATTTTCTCTTTTTAGGAATGCGTGTCTCACTCACATCCTGTTTGTGGAACCAACGGCAAATCGTATGACAACCATTGTGAGTTACATCGTGAAGCCTGTATTGAAGGAATTAAAATACACATACAACATGATGGACTTTGTGCTTGTGAGTAAAATCAGCCATTCAGAATGATGAATTTATACTAGCCAATCATAGTAGTGTATTTAATCCTTCTGTCCAATCAGATGGATGTATTTAATTAATTTGACCAATCAGAATTACATGTTCATTAAAGTTAGCAAATCAGAATATGCTGGTTGAGTATTGTTCAAGTTAGAATTATTTATTTATGAATGGCTGACCATTGAGAACAATTCTCAAGCTAGGTTCGCTGAATGAGTTATTCGCTTATTCAATTTTAAGTAACTTGGCTAAAAACTAAATCGAAATGTTGTAAAATTTGCAAGTTTTACTGATGAATGTATTTTACTGTTTATTGAGTAAGTTGATATATGTGTACTCTACAATAAATCCTGTCTTGAACTCTAGGGAGTACTGGTACGTATTAAATATTCAAAATCACTCAGACACAATTGAGTTAAATACTGTAAATGCATTAATTATTCACTGATTTTAATTTAATTATTTTTGCTGATAAGTAAATTCGTTAAAATTAAACATGTAAAATAACAATAGAACTCACTTTTTCTCTGCCAAGTTTGTGAAATTAAAACCCAGTGAAATTGTTCAAAATAATCCAGTGTGCATATTAAGTTAATCTTAATGGAAAATGATTCTGTAATATAGTCCATCAAACAGAAAATTTCACCTGCAATTTGGAAACACCGTAAGTTCCCGGAACCTCAATCACAACTGAATCCATAGAACTCTTAAATCCTTATATACCATCGTTACCGTTAATTACAGTACATAGTCAATGAATTCAAACAAAAGTGTGCTGACAGTATAAAGAATGTATATGTTTGTATTATTCTTTGTTTAATACTGAATAACTGCCTGATGTCTTTCAGCCATGCCATCGCCGACGCCAGAAACTGTAAAACCTGTGGTCTGTTTCCAGAGTGATAGAGATATACTACGTCAGAAACTTATTGATTGGATGATACAACAGGAGATCCCCGCAGGCTGGTTCACTGATGGTCGTAGTTATAAAGACATCATACAGATGTTTTTTGATGTATGTCTGGTTGTCTTTTATTACATCGCTCACCCTCTCTAATGGAGCATGTTTAGGTCAAGTTACCATTTTCTGATAATTGTTTTTTTTCAGAAATATGACGAGACCAGCGATGGAAAGTTGGATTCCAACGAATTGCTACATTTTGTTGAAGGAAATGAAACAGTTAGCAACGTAACACACAACAGTGAAGGTGAAAATGCAATTTTAAGGTGAGTGCTGTTGCCATGGAAATGATGTGGTCTTCTCATAATCCTAGAAGTATGACCAGATAGCGAAATGTTCACATCTTTGCATTACATATATATGAATCACTCGTTCGTGCAGTTAGTTAACATCTAATATCAGTTCGTAATATTATACACACTGAACGTCGCAACTGTGAATGATATGCAGCGTGGCCATGTAATATAGCGTCATATCTCAGAAAAAAACTCTGATAAACTCTTTACTTTACTACCATACGAATCAATCCGTAAACCATCTTCAACTTCCTGCTGAGTTTACAGCCTGAACAGTTCATGGTACATCAAAGCTGAGTACACATGTAGCAATCACTACACAACCACTCACTCTAAGGTCAAAAGAAGCACAGGAGTAAAGTGCATTGCCAAAGAACACAACATCAAAAACTGGCCAGATTCAAATCAGGAACCCTCTGATTGCGAGTCCAAAGTTAAAGCCATTCCAATACGATGCCTTCTCATGACATTATAAACCCCTTCAATTGCCAAGGTTTAAGCCATTGTACCACAGGAACATGTCTTTTGTTCAGTTGATACCTCGCAAAATGCATAAAGTTTTGTACTACGTGTATTGGTAAATACAAAATATAAAAATGCGCCCATGACTAGATCGCTGAATTATAATGTTGTGTTTTTTTTTCAGAGGATTGTGTGTTGATGCACTCATAGATATCAGTGATGATGATGCAGACTGGGCACTCAACCTGGAAGAGTTCCAGAACTGTATGAACCCTGAATTCAGTCCACCATATAGAAGTAAGTAGTCATGGAGATGGTGTAAACTGTAAAATATTTGTTGGAGCATTTTTGTGGACTGAAAACCGATAGCAGTCACTGTGTTAATATCCAATTGCTTATAAGTATGAACTTACAAATGTAACAAAACATCTCACACTGGAAGACTGCTATGCAATGATTAAAATAAAACCAGCTCACACACGATACACAGATATTAGTCCAATTTAGTACATCATTATTCAGGGATTTTTTAAACAAGGGAACAGGGGCGCAGCGCCCTCATGCCATGGCCATGTGCCCCCTTACTCTGGGGAGCAGATCCTCTGGCAACCATAAAATTCTGATTGACCAGGGATCACATGTGGCCACAGTCTTCAACTGTGACCTGTTTTGACCCCAAGGAAGCCATAGAATGCTCCATTTTAATTTAGAATTATCAAAAACTCCACACCCTGGTAGAGAGAACCCTATCTCTCTCACTTGGTGGTGTCGCTAAATTGCAGTGCTCTTGCAGTTTTTTTCTAGAAAAACCTCTGTTTATCCACAATTTGCTCTACTTTATCCTTCATCCCTTTAGGTTGTTCTCTAGAAGATGAGAATTACAAAGATGGAGCAGAAACCAAAGTTAATTGTAACAGTTGGTGAGTAATTCTATTTCTGCTGTCTAGTGTTAGCTGAGTTTAATTTGAGTGTATTTTACTAGTACTGTAAAATACTTTATTTTCTCTATTTTTGCTATTTTTTATTCAGTGAGAATAAAATCCAGCGAATATACCTATTTTCCTATGTTTTACATAAAGATCATTGAAAATGAACTCCATGGAAAAACCCGAAAATTAAAACAGCGAAAAAAACAGCAACAATTATTCTACGGTAGATGTATGGAGGAACTAGTGCAACCAACATTCAAACAACTACGAGTTGTGTTTTTTTCACAGTTTTTTATTTCAGATGATTATTGAGCCCATTTTACTTTTGTGAAGATATATATATATATTAATACAAAAATTCATAAAAATAAGTACCGTAAAACAAATTTTTTGTCTAGGTGTTGTTTGCATTTGTAAAGCATGAACAACCTATGTTCTACTCTATTCATGTTTATGTGTTAACCCAAGAATACTTTTGGTTGAGTATTTCAGAGATTCAAAAAATATGAAAAAAGATATGAAACAAATGCTGCCTGGTGGCGTTATTGCCTAGCAACATATCATCGCTTATTTTAGGCATTATAAGGGATCTGCCCATGCTGATCAGAATTTCCGACCCTGAGGACAAAAAGTTGGCGACTGGCACTATTCTTTTTGTTTATGCTACACACAGAATGTCGTCCACTGGACCATCATTCTATTGTTCTTGTTAAAGTAGTTAAATCTTAGCCAGTGGAATGGAAAAATGAATATTAATTATCTCATGAATATTAATTAGTGACCGCCACTCAAATCAGGCTGGGCAGAACCCTGCATTATTAATAATGATAATTATGCAAAGAACACAAAACTGGAATTTGAATAATCAAAAGTGACAGAAGAAGTGTTATTGTCCCATGCTGCAACAGATTCTATCCAATTTCCCCTAATAGAACATGTTTTATGACAAAAGTTATATATTGTCAATATTATTAACAAAAATTGGAGAAATTCCAGAAGAAACTATGCTATCCTTGCCAGATGCTAACATCAATGAATCTGAAGAGATTACCTAAAATTCTCCATATATAGAACAGTTTAAGACCTGATGAAAGTTGCAAAGTTCAATGACCTCTCAATCGTGCAGGAATTGCCTAATTTACATATCAACTGCCGACCCAACTTTCCGTCCATTTTTTTATATTATTGATGTGTTTTATTTTGCTACAGTGTATGCGCCTGCGGTAACTGGGTGTGCACCGCTATGGTGTGTGATGATGAGGATCCTAGTCTTGCTAAAACTTCCAAAGATGAAATAAATGAGAAAGAAAAGGAAGATTATGACCCAGGTATTTGCCACTCAGTGATATTTCATGCTATGAATTGTGGGAAATATTAAAGAATTCTCTAATTAATTACTGCATTCCTGTCTCGCTTCAGTTTCACGTTTTACACAGATTCATAAAAATTATCTAAAGCAAAATTATAACAGTTCTATCTGACTTGACAGCAAGGGCAGCAGATCCACTGGCAACCATAAAATTCTGATTGACCAGGGATCACATGTGGCCACAGTCTTCAACAGTTTGCATTATATTTTTCAATTTCTATCTGACTTGACAGCAAAAGACTTACCAGATGAAATGACGGAAGATGAGTTCAAGGAGTATATCCGTAAACTAACTGAGGACAATGTCGATGAATTCTTAGAGGAGGAAGTTGAGGGCAAAATAATAGAGGCAGAAAAGAAAGAAAAAGACCTGAAGAAGGAAATTCCCGGAGGAAAAGAAGACAAAATGATGAAACTATCGGAAAAAGAAATTCCTGTTGAGAACTTTAAAATGGGAAAATCTGTCGATAAAAAGGAGAAAAGTAAAGACGCACACAAATTATAGTCACATTTTAACTGCTAACAAGTTATGACCTTTCACCTTTGACCTCCTACAAGTATAATAGGTCACACAAAATTTACTTTTTTTATGGATATACACATGGTTAACAAAATTTTTCTTTTATAGATAGTGATTTGCATTTTGAGTAGTTTAAAAAGATTTTTCCAGAAGTATATCTAAAAAATATAATTGGCTTGGGGTATAATGAATAGACCATTTCTATTTCACTACAAGAACCCGTAATAAGCGTGAAATTGAACAAAGGACATACAAACAAACACTGCGTGGATTACAACAAATGTGGTTTGAGGTATTTCCATGCTTTATATGTGCTATACTCATTTGATGATGGTCTGCATTTTGACATTGAATTATAAACAAAATTCATATTCAAAATCAAATCATGCAATTTTTGCAGCAGATGTTCTCTTTCCGCACACATTATGCGTGATCTGGTAGTAAACGGAAAATGGCCTATTGGGTTGTTATTTTAGTTTCATATGCATATGAACAAATAACTTTTGAACACCTGAACCCTTTTGAAAAAGTCTGAAATGTTGTTTTTCTATAAAAACTGAACTTATTTACAAGTTTTGTTAAAATCACTTTGTCTATGCAATCGTGAATTTTTTTTTATTCTACACATACCATCAAATTGGTACATTCTGCAAATGATCATTTCAACGGGGAAGAACGCTAACTGGTATCAGAATAGCGCCCTCATGGTCATTTTGCAGGTTCACAGATTCTTGTTAGGGACCACTTTAAAATGGATCAATTTAGTATGCGAATAATCTTATTTGAATCTTTGTTGAACATACTGTGGAATAATTTATTTTCACTTAGAATTTGTTTGAATTCAGATCAGTGAAAAGTTTGTTTTTTCAGATAAATAAAACTCGAGTGAAACTAAAGCAATCCACAGTAGCGTTCCATTTTCTTAACTGACAAACTACATACCCCCGGTACTACTTTTGCAGAGCTTGTTATTGTTTTCGATTCTTGTCAAATTTTTTGTCAATTTTACATTGATCGTGACATGCATTCATCATTACTGCATCGCCCACCGATCACATTCGATTCGATAACGGGCAGCGTGAATGCGGTAGTATGGTGACATGAATTCAATAGTTGAATGAATGAATTTGATAGTTAGTCTGCGTGAATGCAGTTGTATGAATATGATAAATGCGCAAATCTGCATGACAGGTTTTGCAAAAGATACACAATTGTCATTTTGTGTACCAATAATAAACATTGTAGATTGTCTTAAATGACCTGGTGTATACTTAAAATATAAAACAATGTAACACTTTTTTTTAACATTGTACTTTTTTTATTCTTTGTATCTCTGCTCATCTGATAGTTAACTTTTAAATACTTTAAATTGTCATTTTACTGTTTTTATTTTTTTATTATATTTTCACTTACAAATATGCAATTCTGCAGGTTTCAATAAATATATTTTGAAAGTATTTGTTTGTGTTCTCTGATTTGAGTTTCAGCGAGTAGAATAGTGTGTCATTCTAAATTACATCAGACTTGAATCGAAAGAAAATGTTTCAGCTGAGTTTATACTGCCCTCTAGTGTTCAGATTAGGATTTTTTTTATTGTTGTGATGTCAGAGGGCGCTAATATCAACTACTGTAAAAAGACTAATTTTCACTGGGTTTAAATTTCTCTGATTCACCATTTCAGGCAAGTTCGGTGGGTTTTAAATTCACGTTTTTATCATTTAGATAATGTGTTCTATGCTAAATTTTATATATTCACTGGGTTTTAATTTAGCGCATTTTCCAGTAAGTGAAATAAGCAAAATTAAAACCCAGTAATAATTTTAATAGTTAACCCTTTTACAGTACATTAACATATTTGCTATTTTGATTCCAAACTTGAA